AATAAACATTTTTTCCTAAAAGAGTACTTCCCCAGCAGTCTCTTTAATCCATTTGTGAGTTGCTTAAAAACAAATAGTTTGTGGCTTGCCAACCAAGATGGGGCACAAGGGCCTCAAACAATGTTTGGACTCTTACATTTGGTGTGATCTTCACAGGGTTGGCCCCTGGTCGAGAATGAACCAGCTGTGTCCTGCCCACAGAAACCAGGCTGAGGGGGCAGGTAGGGGTGATACTCAGCCTGTGCTTGAATTGTTAAGCCCTGTCCTCGGGAGGGATTGCTCTAGCCCAAAGCAAGGGATGTGTTTTCAGAATTGGTTCCTCCAGAGGGCATAAAGGGGTAATTTGTCAGCCATATGGGGCATGCAGACATTTGTATGTTAGAAGAATTTTCTGGCCCTCTCTGATGTGGAATATCTGGTTTCATTCATTTCTTCAAGTACCAGTAGCTCTTCAGTAGCTCTCAAATCATATTTCCTGGTTCTCACATTGCACATATAGGGATCCATGAGAAAATTGTCTCAGGAAAACACTTCCTTAGGCAAACCAAAGAATACTTAATTTACTCTACAGTAGAATGGATAGAGTAGATAGCAAAAACTGAAATTTGTGATGTATTTACCAACCACACATTTGGTACTTGGTATTTGCGGTTATTTTGTGTCGTTTAGTCTTCATATCAGCTTTAGAAGGTTGATCATTTTCTCCTTTCTACTTGCCCTACCTAAGGAAAAAAGAAAACAGAACAGTAAGTCAAATTCGCTTTCCCAGAGACACTTCTGTGATCATTTATAGCCTCTATTTAGAATCCAGGCCTGTTATTCCGGTTTGGGGTAGATGTGCTAATGTCCGAGGAACAGGTGACGTGAAAGTTAAAGAATGAATAAGACAGGATTCTACCTCAGATGGAGAAAGCTGAAAAGAGCCTCACTCTCATTCTTAAAACAAAATAAAGTGAAATAATATGCAAAATCACAACCTTATAAACTCAGAGAACTATAGTGGTCTAAAGCTATTTATGTTTAATTAATCCAAGGTAAAGAGGCATTACAGTTACGCCTTTACGGTTTGTATCCAAATATCCAAGGAATAAAAGTAGTTGGTTTTTGCTCTTACATCTTTCATGCTAGATTTATATGCCATGACTAAGATCTTTTATACATTTTTTTGTTTGTTTCCAAATATATTATTAGTTTTGGTTGTTTGGGGAAACCAGATTTTGAAGGAAGTTTAGAAGCTGCAGAATCCTGTTTCCTCATTACAGTGAGAAAACTGAAGATTAGAGAGATTAAATGGTCAAAATCACAGCATGATTCAGCGAGTTAGAAAACAGATTCCATCCTGAGATGATGTCACAGATGGCTAAAATGCTCTGTAAATTCAAATTTAACTTATGGACGCTGGGGAAATGACAACTTTCTATACAAATGATGTTTGTATTCTGAGCTATTCTAACATATTCATATTCATATTACTTTATGAGCCACGACCGCTCGCTAGTATGCAGGTGACGGCGATTAGGAATGAGAGAGTGAGTCATTTAGGTGCTTCACCCAGTGTCTTTGCTTTCCTTTACATCATGCTGATTCCCCTCTGAACTTGTAATTTCTAAGGACAGTCTGTCTCTACATGAGATAAGAAATTACCCTCCACCCAATATAATTTGCTTCTTCGTTTTGTTTTCACTTAAATAGCTTCATCCTTTAATGCCTTGACCCCACTCTATCTTATCTTTTTGCACCTCAACCTACATCTCAGCTCCTCCTTGGTATCAAAATCAAGTAGG